TAAAGTGAATAGTCCTAATGTTTTCCGGAGACCGTTGCTTAGGATGGAGAAGGAATAGCATTACCTCTACCTGAGCTCTCCTGTGCATCTGCATCCAGTCTCAACCCCCACATTCCATCCCCCACTCTGCTTGCCGAGTCATCTATTTCAAAGGTAAATCTGTTCATGCCATCTTCTGCCTCAATGCCTTCAATGGATTTCCACTGACTTCTGAATAGAGTACAAGCTCTATGGCAGAACAGACAAAGATCAGCCTCAATTCTTCACCATGTACCTTTGGTTCCTCCATTCCATCATCACTCTAGCTAAGGGTCAAGACCTGAAGTCAGTCTGGCTGGGTAGAGAATAAGAGGATCTTCTTTTTTTTAAAAAAAAATAGTCTTATATTTCTCAAGTCTCCCTGCAACAAAATCAATAAATGTCTTTATTAAAAATAAAACTTGTAGTAACAAAGTGAATTATTTATTGCCAGTCACTAGGTTGTGTGCTCTAAGTTAACTCATCTAATCATTAAAACAGTCCTAAGGGGCAGTGGTATTTCTCCGTTCATCTGATGGTCGAGGAAACCAAGGCACAGAGAGGTTAAATAATTGTCCAAGATCCCAAATGGCAAAGCCAGGTTTCAGACACTGACAGTCAGGCTCCGCAAGCCACCCTCTTAACCATGATGCCATATTGCCTCTCACTGAAAACACAGAAAACTTTCAGTTACCACATTATATAACTGTGGATAATTTATAAAATACAAATTTTATGCTAGTTCTTCAGTCAAGAATAAGTACAGGCCATCCTTGCATTACCTGGTTTCAGTATCAGAAATTTCAGTTAGTTACCATGGCGTAGTTAAATATCATCAGTTCCTCAACAACATAGTTTAAATTTCAGTTACCACATTATATAACTGTGGACAATTTATAAAATACAAATTTTATGCTAGTTCTTTAGTCCACAAATAATGAAATAAATAACAGATACACATAATGTTCACTTACCACATTACCTTTTCCAAAGTCAGTTGGTGATTACTGACTGCATGTCTGTTATTCCATTTATCCACAGACAGCAGTGTGTAGCCATGTTGTTTCTGTGTCTCTCAGTGATAAACCCATACGACATTTTACAAAAATGAATTACTGAAAGCGGTAATTAGCTAACAAAGCTGAAAGTGCAGCAAAGAAATAAAAAGTGGTAACACTGGTTCCAAATACAGATGGAATTCTAGAAGAAATAGATGACCATGGGACTGTCATCACTGCCACTTTGGTTGGCCCTTCCACAGCCTAAGGGTACACATTTTAAACAAGATCCCAAAGTGAACTGTTACAAAATGGCTTGAAAACTATTATTGTAAATTTGGTTCAAGAGAATAGAAGGTGAATGCCCTCTAGTGTTCACACATAAGTGTCACACCTTTGTTGGAGAAGCAGAGCTTACCCTTTCCTTACAAAAGAGCCAAAATTCATGATGTACAAATTTTAAGGGCTGTATCAGGATAAGTTATTTCCATGTCAATGACTTAGCTAACTAATACTACCTTAAGTTTATTTGTGTCACAAAAAGCATTACATAAATATTGCCAGAAAATTGTCTCTCTCATCAGACCTCAGCAGCTCCTGGAAATTCAATTTAAATATTGGAATCCTCCATCCCAACAAGTCTGGTTTTAGAAATGAAGACTCATCCTTAAATTTAAAGTAACTGCTAAGTGGGAAACACTATATCTTCTCTCTGCAAGAGGCAGATTTTACTCATGCTATCTGTGATGGCTTCATCACCTCTTCACTACGTCCTAATCAATGTTACCTCAGTAGAGGATTAGACTTGGGGTCTAATGTTTTTCTCTTTTTCTCTTTAAATTAAATGGAGAATACAGTAACTATTTAGTGTAACATATAAATCCCTTCTAGTATTATGTTAGGCTATTGTTCATTCCCAAATAGGAAATCATCCACGTATTTTTTAGGTTAGAGTTAAGTGTCTGTAACAAATGGATGTAAAATGTGGTGGCTAAAAAAAGATGGAATTTTATTCTCTTTTAAATAACTTTCCAGAGAGAGTGGTCCATACAGTGGAGCGCTGACATCCACATTAAACACACAGATTCCATTTCTGGGTCCAAAGTGGCTGCTCCATCTCCTGCTCTCACATGAGCATCTCGTCCATGGAAAAAAGGCCAGGGCAGACTACATCCATTCCTTTTAAGGACAAACCCAGACTGGCAGACAACAGTTTTGTTCACATCCCACTGGCCAGAATTTGGCCATAAGCTTCAAAAGAGGATGGGAAGGTAGTCTTTAGTAAGGCAGCTATATGCCCCACTAAAACGTGCAGTACTATCATTAAAGGAAGAAAGGGAAAGTGGATTTTCAGTAGACAACTAGCTGTCTTTGCCACAAACTACTTCCTATCTTTGAACATTTTTTTATGTGATTTTCTAAGCCACTAGTTAATCACAGAAAATAATCACATCAAGTATTTCAAGAACGCTGGTTAAAGAAATGATAGAGTTTTTACAGAGATGTTCCTGATTCAGTTGAGAACCTTGTTTTTTAGCTTTATGGTTCTTTATGGTAGAGACTTCTAAATTACAGATCTAAATAAACAGGTCAAGAGTAAGTACAGGCCATCCTTGCATTACCTGGTTTCAGTATGCACAAATTTCAGTTAGTTACCATGGGGTTAAATATCACCAGTTCCTCAACAACATAGTTCAAATTTCAGTTACCACATTATATAACTGTGGGCAATTTATAAAATACAAATTTTATGTTAGTTCTTCAGTCCACAAATAATAATATAAATAACAGATACACATAATGTTCACTTACCACATTACCTTTTCCAAAGTCAGTTGGTGATTACTGACTGCATGTCTGTTATTCCATTTATCCACAGACAGCAGTGTGTAGCCATGTTGTTTCTGTGTCTCTCAGTGATAAACCCATATGACATTTTACAAAAATGAATAACTGAAAGTGGTAATTAGCTAACAAAGCTGAAAGTACAGCAAAGAAATAAAAAGTGGTAACACTGATTCCAAATACAGATGGAATTCTAGAAGAAATAGCTGACTGTGGGACTGTCATCACTGCCACCTTTTAAGACACTTAGATATTCAGCCAGAGGAACTGTATTAGTCAGGGTTCTCCAGAGAAATAGAACAAAACAGGATGTGTGTATGTATAGATAGTGAGAGATTTAGATTTATTTTAAGGAATTGGTTCACATGATTATGGAGGCTGGCAAGTCCAAAATCTGCAGTGTGGGCCAGCAGGCTGGAGATCCAGGGAAAAACTGATGTTGCAGTTCAAGGTCTGATGAAATACCCAGACGCTATGGCCCAACCAACTCTATGCAGAAAATTAAACATCAGAGGAACTTGTGAAGGTGAAATTATTGTCATAAATGAAGAAAGTGGTTATGACAAAACAGACAAAGATGCCCCAGAGGAAGTGTTGCTGGTAAAAAACAAACAAGAAGACCCACTTTATATTAAAGGAACTCTTGGAATATTTCACAACATTGAAAGCACAGAGAATAAATGTTGGAAGCTAATTCAAACTTAGAAAAGAGTATGACAGTTCACCAAGGCATAGAAAAGATGCTCACTTCATATCATATATTATACAATGATAATTAAGATAACCTCTATTTGAACTATTCAACCTTTATAAGTACAAAGAAATAAAACTTTAGTTCTGAATGTTTCTAATGCTTTAAATTGCAGTGCACTAAATAAATACTAGTTTTGATAGTTTTTCATTTATAACTTAGAGTCCTGAGTTTTTAATGCTTTGATAAATAACCCTTCCTAAAGTGATTATTTCTAATCTTCCCTTTGCTCCTCCAATTCAGCTTCCCAGCAAGTTACACTATGACTAAAAGACCATAGTTTTTCTTCCCCCAAAGTAGTTTACTGACGTCTCAATCCAGGCCTTTATCTTATATTGAATCTGCTAGGGAGTCATGCATGCCCACTCAGCCACACTTTTCCATGTGAGTGTTCCAGATGCAGTTGAGAATGGATAAAATGCCCAGACTTGAACAACAGGTTTGACCGATCGCCATGTAAGTCCCATCATTGCCATCTAACCACTGAGAAAAAAACTTGTAGAAACTTAACACCAGTTGCTTAAATTATTATCTACTACTAGAAATTAAAATCATCCCAAAGATAATCGGTCTTACCTTTTATATGTTCAGACAACATGGAACAGTGAGTGGTATGGTTACTGCAACAAAAAAGTCTATCAAATCTGTGTTAGCTTCTTCCCTTATTTTTAAACAGTGTGTGTGTTGGGGGATGGTGGTGAGGAAGGAATATTCTCACTAAACGTGAGAAATATTTGGCAACTGTAGATGGTAAGTATTTTTAAATCTCATTTCTTGAATATCCAAACACAACAGATCATGAGTTTTAAAGTGGTTTAGTAAAAGTCACTTTGTTTTTCCTATTTCTAAAATAATCAAGTGGATATGGGAGATTTTAGTAATATACTGTGGTATGGAGTTGATTCCAGAAAAATCTTCGCCTCAGATTTTCTTAGGAGCTCTTAAGAGTCTTTTTGACTCCCTTTTGAAACTCACCCATAGGTAAGACATTTCCCAGGCTCTGACCTCACCAATCCTACAAGCTCCAGAAGCTCTAGATGACTAGCACCAGGGAGGAAGGGGCTTTCTGTAGACACACCCAAGATTTGCAACCTTGTTTGAAAATACAAGTCAGGGCGAGAGTCTCTGGCCATCTTTTTGCTCCGACCAGCCCCACTTTCCCTTCTGCGGGAGGTTGATTGAACAGCCGACTAGTAATACGTGACAAGGAAGCCTCTTTTATCTCTGCCTTCGCTTCAGCACCCTCCCCGCCCCGGGCCGGGGGCCGCGGGACCCGCCCTCCTGGAGACGGCGGATTTGTTATCTTCCCGTCGCGCCCCTGCAGGCGGCGACGGGAGCGGGACTACAGCTCCCGGCATGCCCGCCTCCGCCCCGCCGCGGCGAGCCGACCCGGTAGTAGCTCTTCTCCGCCAGAAGTTTTCCCTACCTGGCAGCCCGGGGTGCTCAGCGCCAGTCTGCGGAACGCGGGCACTGCCCGAGTGACAGCGCCGGAGCATGGCCTTGCACCTGGGCAGGCTGAGCGCGGGCTCCTGCTGGCGAGCGGCGCGGGGCTGCTGCGGAGAGCTGCGCGCTTGGTCCCCGCGCTGCGCGGCCGGACGCATCTGCCGGCCCCCTGGAACGGCTGGCGCCGGGCGGTGCCGCGGGCTGGGGCACCGCGCGACGGAGGGAGGTGGCCCCCGGCTGGGGACCAGTCTGACCGCGGCGCTGGCGGGGCTGGCGGGGCTGGCCGCCGCCGCCTTCGGGCACGTGGAGCGGGCGGGGATGGTGCCTAAGAGCTCGGGGGCGCGGAGCCCCTCGCCCGGGAGGTCGGAGGAAGAGGACGCGTTGGCTCGCCGCTGCAGCTGCTTCATGGCCATGCCTGTGACGGACCTGCGCGAGTTGCGGCGGAGGCCGGGCGACATGAAGACCAAGATGGAGTTGCTGATTCTGGAGACCCAGGCCCAGGTGTGCCAGGCGCTGGCACAGGTAGACGGGGGCGCCCGCTTCTCTGTGGACCGGTGGGAGAGGAAGGAAGGTGAGGCGGTCGGCTCCTAGCGGGAGGTGCAGGTGGGAAAAGAGGTCAGGTGTTAGTTTGCTGGCAGAAAATAAGTCAGAGGATGGGGGTACGAAAGGGGTACCTACGACCGCGCGGCTGCTAGGTTAGAAGGGGCGACGTTAGAAAGATTGACACAGAAAGGGCCATCAGCCCTGTGCTTGCAGATGTGGACGCAGATCTGTCACCCTAGTACTGGACATTTCAAAATCTGCAATTTTATAATGACATTTTTCGTAGAAGGCGTGAACAATTTTAGCCAGCAAGCTTGAATGTCCACACATTTTTCCCACATGTCATTGCTTCTCTGGAAGCGCTTACCGTTTCTCCTCTTCTGGAGGCGGAAAGAGGAACTCGCTCCTCTTTGGCTGTGTCAGCCAGGCTCCTCCAGTGGACGGTGTCATTGTGTCTTTTTCCTAAATCGCACACAAAAAAATGTTGTTTACAAGTAGTTCTAACAAATGCACCCATCAGATTTCCTGCTAGGAGAATCTTTCTTTCTCTCCAATGGCAAAATGCTTTAGTATTAAAACCATTTTTATAGTCATAGATTCATAACCATGCTACTGCCTGTACAGTGAAACCCCACATCTTGATCATAAACTTGAAATAGTCTGACTTTTTTTCTAGCTAGTAATACTCCAGCAGCCTCCGTCAGCAGATTTTGGATTGTGGTACTGCCACGTCTATATTAGGTGAAGTTAAATCTGGCTTTAATAGTGTTCTCTATCTTGTGATGTTTTCAGGTGAACACCACTGAGCCAGAACACAATCACAAGTACCTGAATAGCTATGTGACCTTCAGAAGTTACTTAACTTTCTTTGTGCCTCTGTTTCTTCATCTCTGAAATGAAATTAGAAATAATATATGAGGGTATTGTAAGGATTACATGAAATGAGAATCTGTGTACTATTTAAAAAATATTGTCTGATACATAGAAAGTGCTGAGAGACAAATTGGGCCACAAGCTGCTCTGTGTTCTTGGATAAGGTTGTTTCTCTCCCTGGATCTCAGTTTTCTCAATTGAAGTATACAGGAGTCATGCTGGATCATCTTATGTCCCATCCAACTCTAAAAATTTGAAAATAAAATAAGCCAGAAAAGAACCTTCATGGAACGATTGCCTTTGTGGTAACTCTTAGAAAACAAGAATTTAAAAAAATAGTAAAGTTCAGATACCTACATGTTATGTGTGTGTCACTGAGTAAAAGGTTCCCTTAAGAGTTCGAATATCTACTGTTTTTGAATTGCCTGTAAGCAAAGTTATAAGGCAAACAGCATACTGAGAAAAAACAATTCAAACAAATAGAGCTCTTAAATTCCATAATAATAGAACACTCTTCAAACATACACATTTTGTTCTAAGGTTAAGAACCCTTGGATGCCATTCTGAACATTTGAAGGGAATATATTCTGGTGATTTATTTTAGATGTAGAAGAAATACTCAGGTTAGTGATGTCGGGAAATATATATGTGCCCACTATCTGTAGCTAATGTCATAAAGCTAAGTTAGTTGTCTAATTTTACTGTCCTTAAAAATTATATACTGCCATATCAATGATACTTTAATAAAAAATAAAATTATATACTGCCATTACAGAAGATTTGGAAAATAGAGGAGGAAATAACTCTAAACCTACCATGTTCATGCAAGGGTTGTTTTCAATTTTTCATATACCTTTATTCTCTTCTTGTTTTATATTTCTTTAAATAGGCGGTGGTGGCATCAGCTGTGTACTTCAAGACGGTCATGTTTTTGAAAAGGCTGGGGTGAGCATTTCTGTTGTCCATGGAAATCTTTCTGAGGAAGCAGCAAAACAAATGAGAAGCAGGGGGAAAATTCTGAAGACTAAAGATGGTAAGTCAGAAAACTCAGCAACTTTTAATAGTCTCTGCAAACCTTTTTTTCGCCAACATGTTTTATTTGTAAAACAAATACTCGTTCTGTAAAAGGCCATTGAGTGCATATGCCAAACATGTTGACAATTACTTTCCAAAACTTACATTTTATGAGGCAAATTATTAAAAGCAGCTTTTGAAAATTGACTCAGAAACCATGTCGGAATTCATTTGTATTAAGCCAAGTGATTGACTGCTGCTCATTGTTTCACTCTGCAGGTAAATTGCCCTTTTCTGCTATGGGTGTGAGTTCTGTTATCCACCCCAAAAATCCTCATGCTCCTACTATCCATTTCAACTACAGATATTTTGAAGTAGAAGAAGCTGATGGTAAGCATCTCTGGAGCTGTGCAAAGTACTGTGCAAAATGTCTGTTTTAAAACAGGTTGGTGAGCATGACATCTAAAAGCGAGAAAGACTATATAAAGCTTTACTAGGTTTTCAGGGGGCGTAAGAAGGCTTATCACTGGGCAGATATGATAGACTATGCACTGGACAGGAGAAATGCCAGTGTCTTGTCTGGACTCTAATTTCCCTGTAGTTTCACCAATGCAGAGGAATGTTTAATGAATCTGAACTTCAGGGTGCACTTGAGAGTTTTTTTTCAAATACAAACTTATTACATCCAAAGAAAACCTATGTGCAACATTAAATTGAAATTGAGAACTTGTTTTGGAAAATATCTATCACATGCATGGCTGTATTAGTCACCAGTATGTTACCAGTGGGTTTTAGATGGGGTATAGTTGATTATGCCTCCTTATACATACATAGTTTCAGCTTCTGTGTCTCATGAGCTGGGCCAACTGTTACCCCGTCAGAGCACCTGTGCAATGTCATGCTACTCCTGTTGGTGTCTCTGGAGGTCATGGCATTTAAAGTCAATGCATTTAAGTTCATTTTGAAGCCATTTAGTTGAATTCCACCCTATAAAGTTTAAAGAAGTTGGTAACTGGTACTGACAACCTATCAGCCTGAGTAAGCACATGAAATAGTTATTCTCATATGATAAGTTGTTTCCCTCAGCAAGTCTTTTCACACTTCTTGGGGGAAAGAAGGAAGGGGTGGCAATGCTTCTTAATACAGGGGTCATCAGAATCTCCTGGGGAGTTTTTATAAACTGTACATGTCTGGACCAGAGATTGGCTTGTGTCCTTTAAATTGTGCCACAGCAGAAGCAATTTAAACTCATGTGATTATAATATGCCAGAGTTTGTATCCACTGCCTGGCCCACCTGTGTGATGTTTGGTCCTTTACTGCCAGGCATGTCATTTCCCTTCCTAGTTCTATTCTCTTATCTTTCAATTTCCTACATCCTTCTCTTTCTGCTTTTATATCTTTTTTTCCTGCCTAGGCTTTATTGGCCATTCAGAGCTAAATTCAGTGTTTTGATTGTCACCCATTTCATGTGTAACAAACTAAGCTGATAAATTAACTTTGCTAGTACAGTGAGTCGTGTGCTGCATCTCAAAGCCCAAAGCCCGCGTCAGAATCCCACATCTTGATTTGGCAGGTGACAAGCATTGGTGGTTTGGTGGTGGCTGTGATCTCACTCCAACTTACTTGAACCAGGAGGATGCAGTCCATTTTCACAGAACTCTCAAGGAGGCTTGTGATCAGCATGGTCCAGATCTCTACCCCAAATTTAAAAAATGGTAAGTAAAGGTATTGAACTTTCATGGCCCCTAAAGTATATTCCATTCCTCCTGTAGACCCTGAAGGCAACTACTGTGGCACTAAACTCCCTTTTCAGCTAATGAAGGTTGAACTGTTTTCTTTGCCCACCAGAAGTGGGATACCGGGTTTGAGTGGTTTTAAGAAGTTACTTACTGAGGAATATTTGAGTGTCTGTAATTAATACTGGGTAGCAGCACCTTTTTTGATTCCACGTGGCTTAGAATGTTCAGGTGATCTGTGCCTGAGAACCAGAGGCTTTTTAATCCTAGGGTGGGATAGTAGATTCTCATTCCAGTCTTGTTGTGGCTGTGCAACGTGCTGGGACATAGGAGCCTCAGAGGGAGATGCAAACGCACCAGTTGGACGAAGAGAAGAGTGGAATTGGAAACTTTGTTAATGACACTAATGAAAAAGAAAAGTGAGCTGTGAGGACACCCAGGATTTTTGGTAGGTGGGAAACGGAGTCCAGGCAGAAGGTGTTTGGAGTAAGACTAAAGTACTTGAGACTTTCAGAGTGGATTGGCATTCTTGAAAAGGAAGAACAGAAAGGATCTGGCATTTTTAGGTCTTTTGTTCTTGTTTGCTTTGCTTTTAGATATAATTGTGGAATTGTGGTGTTATTTATGTAAGAGCATGGAGTTCAACTTTGAAACCCTCAGAAAAATAAGGCACTTGAATATTCTTTGGATTTGGCATCACCACTGAAAGCTGTACAGCCAGGGATGAGTGGATGTAAGATGAAGGGGCTTTTTCCTCCCACGAATCAGCATCCTTCCAGGAGGAAGGCGGGTGGGGTAGACATTCCCTTGTTTGTTTTTTTTCTTATTGCTGTTGCTGAGATGACTTTATCTGAGTAATATTAGTTAATAAAATATCTAGGATGCTAGGTGAATTAATTAGATGAACTAAAAAAATACCTTGTTAAAAAATAGCGTCTGTATTCAGGAAACTTCTTAATTCCATAATTTTGTGAAGAGAGATTTTGAAATAATGTGGTTTGGGTAATGCTGACTCTACAACTCAGGATGTCCTCTGTGTTAGTAACGTACAGGTAAAGGGAAGCCAAGGAGTCACAATCGAGGCCAATTGTGGCAGTGCGTCGCTTGTAGGGATTTGCAGCTCCTGTCCTTTTTTTCTGGTTCAAGCTCTTACAGCTGTTTTTAATACAATCTTTTCAGTAGCTTTAGTTTTTAATACAGATCTTTCCATTTAGAGACCCTTATTTTTATAGAGATCATCAAAACACCTATTTCCACAGTGTGAACTGCTCCATACATTTAGCATGTAGGAAATGAATTCTTAGGAGGCCTGTTCTAGTGGGCACAGGGGAAAGACTCAAGAACAGTGGTCATTTCATGTCACATGCTGGCTCACAAGGCTGACCTGTAGTAGGTCCGAAGGCTCTTGTTGTCTGCAGGTTTCCTCCCTCCAGCCCTCCCTTCAGTCCTGCATGCTATAGAGCCACCATTGTGTTGGGAAAGAGACCTTGGAGATCATATACCGTCCTTTGCGAATAAGGAACTGACCCGAGAGCTCAGGGGTTGGCACCCAGGCACAGTCCCAGCTGGGGCACTGGGGTGGATTCCCATCCTGCCTCCTGCAGAAGCACCACTGCTACTGAGAGCAGCAGCACTTGCTTAGGATGTACACTCAGTGCAGGGCTCTTTCTCATCCCTGGGTTTCAGAGTTCCCTATCCTTTAGATACACATGGGCTTCTTACCGTACTTTAGCCAGCTGCCTACTTGCTTTGCAGATAAAAGCATACGCACCTTCTCCACCGGTGCGAGCTGCAGGAAAGCTGCTCAAAGCCCTAGTTTCATTTTCATACTGGGACAAAAGGCAAGGACACCATGCTGACACAAGTCAAGGTTAGCTAGCACTCTAAGCTGAAATGCTCATGTCTCCCTTTTCTTCCCTTTGGCCCTGATTCAGCTTTGCTGTGTTTTCCAGGTGTGACGATTACTTTTTTATAGCCCATCGTGGGGAGCGGCGGGGCATTGGGGGTATCTTTTTTGATGACCTTGACTCTCCATCCAAGGAGGAGGTGTTTCGTTTTGTGCAGAGCTGTGCCCAGGCTGTGGTTCCCTCCTATATCCCCCTTGTGCAAAAGCACTGTGACGATTCGTTCACCCCCCAGGAGAAGCTGTGGCAGCAGCTCCGGAGAGGACGGTGAGTGGGCTGTGGATAACAAACTGTCCCGTTGCATTACTGGGGGGAGGCAGGGTGGCCAGAGTGACGGTGGGCCGTGTGCTGTCTTGGGCAGATACTTTGTCAGAGTTGTGTTAATACCCTCATTTCTTTTCGTAACCAGATGAATACTAAACAAATTAGGAAAAAGTTGTGTAAAATAATAGTATAAAAAGAGCATTTGTTTATACATTAGCAACTCGTGGTAGGCGTGTAGTAAGTAGTGCTGAATTCAATTCTGCTGATTTCTTTTAGTCTTCCAGCAACACCCTCCAGCCTTACACCAAGATATAAGCATCATTTAATGTTTTGCTGCCTTGTAAATTTGGAATCACACCTTTTTTCATCTTTAAGGTTTCATGGATGTCACTATAATGGAAATAGTCATTTCAGAAATTATTTACATTTTATATTTACTAATTATGAAGTCTTTATGTGTCAGTCAATATGTTGGGCAGTTAGTATCTAAATCTTCTCTACAAACCTGAGAGATTGGTATAATTACCATCATTTTACAGGTGGTAAAACTTATTCTCAGAAAGGTTAAGTCCTGCACTCAAGATCACACAGCTGGTAAATAAAAGATTCCAGATATAGAACCAGGACATCATGAGTTCAAAACTTGCCGTCTTTCCCACACATGAAGTTAAGTAGTTGAAGCAGGATTGTGTTTATTTCCATGATACTCACTTTAGTCACGCTGTTCTGTGTGTTGAGCTTGGTGAGCTCAGTGGGGCAGCCAGTGTGAGGTCATCTTCAGCCAGGAGGTCCTTGTGAATCAGCTGCAAATTATCCACTGCTGGCTCGCTTCATTTGCCATGTTAATCACATATGTACTACTAGCCCATGCATTTTCTCATTTATGTCAACTGTCTCAGGCATATGAAGCTTTGGGTACATAAGGAGGTAAGAGTGGTGCCTGGAAAAGGTCAGCCTCACTGATGTTCTGAGTTTAAAGATAAATGTTTGTGTTATCCTTTCTCATGACTGCCTGGGCTGTCTGGTCCCCATTTATAAACTTGGGAAAATGGGAGTAGAGTAAGTTTCGCTGTTAGAAATTTCCTGAACAATTCAGCTGTTTTGGTGCATGCTTCTTTCTTTTTTGTTTTTGTTCCCATGATTTCTCAAATAGGCCTTTAACACTCCTTCCTTCCTTTCACTTGACATTTATCATGTGTCCCCCATGGCCAGGCACTATGTTGGCTGCAAAGGTGAGCATAACATGGACCTACAAAAATAAACTACCTGACAGACAAAAGAAGATAATTTAAGACCTATGGAAAGTACAATGTCCTAGTTTTGCCTAAGATTTCATATGCAAAGCTAGCAGGTTTTGTAAATGCTAATGAAGTAAAGCCTTTGAAACTTAGACATAGGAATGATGTTGTGTGTGTGTGTGTGTGTGTGTTTCCATTTAATGATGACATTTTGAAAGTTCTATTGGTGTATGTCATTGCACGTCAGCTGTTATTTGAGTTAGAAGTGTGGGGTGTTAGATTAATTTTTTGTGGTATACTTTGTGACTGTTCTTTAGAGAACCTCCTCCTACTACCCTTATCTCTGGGCTTTAAGATGGCAATAAACTCTGGGGCTTACGATAACCCCAGCTCTTTGCTGTGGTAATCAGCACTGTCTTCCTGGTCTTTCACTGCAGTCATTACCTGCTTGTATTCTTCAAAGGTTGCTTGTCCCCATGTTGTCCCACTCCAGATAGGAGATTGCCGTGCAGTGGTCAGGCTGCTTCCCTTTAGACAGTGCAGTGTTTCATTTGGCAATTTCATCTCATGTCTTGCACGGTGTTACTACTCTTCTCTCCCAAGACCTTGAGCTTCAATCTTATCATCTTTTTCATAGAAGAAAAGAAACTAAAGATCTTAAATGCTGGTTTATTGGATTTTGGGAAAGAGAAGCAGGATAAAATTTAGGCATCAGTTAAGTTGAAGGGAATGGTTAAGGTTCATAGTTTGCAGGTTCCTCAGAGCAGATAAATGTATGGAAAGAATCAGGAAGATTAGATTTAAGCAAAACCTGGTGGAAATCAGAGAGGCTAATGTAGGTAAAGGGACACTGTTCACTGAAAAAAGGAAAGCAGCACAGGGATCCTACAGAAAGCTCATTTAGGGACCTTCTTACAAGGATCGTTGAAAAGGACATCAATACAAACTAGAAAATCAACAGCCATTCCCTAAATGTCATGTTTCAGAAGGGTAACATTGGTAACAAGGTGACTGAGAGACTGAAGTTCTTTTCTATGGTTGTTGTGAGAAAGAAATTAAGATGGTTCCCTTGTTATCTTTTGAAACAGGCGTAAGAAAATATTGAACAATTATTTGTGCACAAAATTCCTCAGTGATAAATAAATGGTGAGAACTAGAAAGGGATCCATGGATAAAATTTATTTACATTTTCTTAGGTCCTTTGGCAAGTTTCCACACAGAAGGATGCTTTATAAAAACTGAAGTGGTGTGGGATTCTAGAGAACTCTTCCTTTGAGGTGTGATTAAAGACAGTGATCAGTGGATGAATGAGAATATCTCAGGGAAGGGAGACCAAAGGAGTACTTCCTGAATGAATTGAGAAATGATCTGAGAGGAGGACAGTTAATTAAATTTTTAGATTTATGGGTCATTATAATTCTTCTGGGTAGTAGAAACTATCTTTTTGAAATTGGGGGGAAGAAACTCTTTTACAAAAGATCCCATTACAGGCAATCACAGGATTTTAAAAGCTAGATAGAGTTTAAATCTGATTCTGTGAACAATTAATGAAAACTTAATATACTGAACCAATATAATGAAAAACTAATATGCTAAGGATATTTTGCTAAAAGAAAATTGAGCGCTGCAACTTAACCACTACCTTTTATTGTAATAATGTGCAATAAATGTTTAGGAAGACTGAAGTATATGACTACTTATTAAGGTTATTAATTTCTTTAATAAAAGGGAATATGTAGAATATACTAGTAATTCTTAATAGATTGCTGTTAGCTTCATTTGGCCTTTCAATTACTAAATTTTTACACTGTTTTAGTGGGTGTAAGTTACAGGCAGTGACATGAAGTTTTCGACTCTGAAGCATCTCAGACTGTGGTGGGCGGGACTGAAAAGAGCTGTCCTATCCTGATAAAGGGTGCTGTTTCTTTTTCTTAATTGTTTTTTGTACCTTAAAGCGCTCAGCTTTGTGTCCATTCTGCTTATTTATTAGAAAACATAACCTTGTTTAATAATTGCTCTGTGTTGGAGCTGAATCTCTATCCTATTGTTTTTTGGATAGAATACCCTTTTATTTATGCCTGTCCAGATGGAGAAGACTCAGCCGACTGTAGACTGGTGTTCCCTTTGCCATGTCTAGCTGAACTGGAGGCTAGGCAGGAAGAAGCCCCCATTTAAGTATTTGTTATTGATTAATCTTAAAGATTTTATTCAGCTGGCCCTTAATATTATTTGATGTCTTTATGTCAGATATGTAGAATTTAACCTGCTGTACGATCGGGGTACAAAGTTTGGCCTCTTCACTCCAGGATCCAGGATTGAAAGCATCTTGATGTCTTTACCTCTAACCGCTCGGTAAGAATAACTCATCATAATAATTATTCCCTCGCCCTGATCCCCTAGCCCCTAAAAAACAGGAATATTAACACTGCAAATGCCTTACCTAAAGACTTAATTGGTTTTGACTTTGTTGTTTTTATAAGAAAATCAGAGTCAAATAATTAAGGAAAATCAAATTGTTTTTTTACGGGGTGGCAGGATGAATGATAGAGCTTTGTGTATGAGAACAGGCAAAGGTAGACGGAGTGATGAGAACAGGAAAAGATACGGTGGGTGATGGCACATGGGAGCCAGGTGGACCTTCCCTACCTGGTAATTTTCTAGGAAAAGCTACGGGCAAAGCAAAGTTACTTGAACATACCAGCTTTTTAAACTCTTAATTTTATTAGACATTATTGCACTTGCAGGGAAAAGTCTTTTTCTGCAGTATAAAGTATTACGCTTGTTTGAAAGTATGAGGGATCATCTCAGGTACTCAGCCTTCTCTCTGTGCTTTCTCTACTGCTGTGGTGAGCTTCCATAAAGGCTAATTGAATCTGTTTGGGGGAATTTAAAGACAGATATAACTCTGTTGGTGCTATTAGGTTAATAAAGATCTATAATTGACTATTTTGGCTGTAAGAAAGTGACAATGATGTATGTCCAGATTGAAATAGAGAAGATCAAAAAAAGAAAAGGGAAGAAAAAAAAAATTACTATTGCTTGTTTTTTAAGAGCTTGAGTCTTCTTTTCTCCATTAGTTTAAATGTCCAAATAAGAATGAACAGTGGATGGCATTGAAGGTCTGCTTGCATCAGTTTGCTATCCAGATCTAGCCTTGTGAGATCAGTACCCTCTATGGTTATCACTGCCTTTAGAATAGAATGGCATTGGCTCTGTCCTTGTTTAACTGTTGTTCTTGGGATCTCCTGTCCTTGGTTCACGCACATCATGTCAGGTGTTCCTGCCACCATAGAGGTGAGATAGGAATGAAAAGTCCAGGTGAATTGTTAAGGCCTCCAGTCATTTGACTGATTGCTGCTGACCCCTAACCATAATGCACATTCCAGGCTGCAGATGTGGATGGATCATAAGTGAATCCCTTGCTCATTTGAATAGCGTTGGCACAACAGGCCACTTTCAGCTTCTTATAGTCTACACCAGGGGTCTGCAGATGCAGGGCTGATGGACAAATCCAAGTCCACCTGTCATGTGTTTTTTTTTTTTTGAGAGGGCATCTCTCATATTTATTGATCAAATGGTTGTTAACAACAATAAAATTCTGTATAGGGGAGTCAATGCTCAATGCACAATCATTAATCCATCCCAAACCTAATTTTCATCAGTCTCCAATCTTCTGAAGCATAATGAACAAGTTCTTACATGGTGAACGAATTCTTACATAGTGAATAAGTTCTTACATGGTGAACAGTACAAGGGCAGTCATCACAGAAACTTTCGGTTTTGATCACGCATTATGAACTATAAACAATCAGGTCAAATATGAATATTCGTTTGATTTTTATACTTGATTTATATGTGGATCCCACATTTCTCCCTTTATTATTATTATTATAATTATTATAATTATTATTTTTAATAAAATGCTGAGGTGGTAGGTAGTTGTCATGTGTTTTTATACAGCCCTTGAGCTAAGAATGGATTTTACATTTCTAAAGGATTATTAAAAACAAGAAAAGAATATGCAAGAGACTGTATGTGGCACCACAAACCCCAAAGTATTTATTACATGGCCTTGCGCAGGAAATATTTGCCCACCCCTGGTCTAAATCTGTGTTTGCCAGACTACATACTACTGCTTTACCATTTTAACCATATTTGTGTATTATCCGAGGTATTATTTACTTAAATTTTATACTTTTGTTTCTGAGAGAGACTTTATTTAAAAAACAAACCAATATTATTGTCATAAACAGGAAGTAGCACACTAAAGTAAATGCATAAATATAAGCTAAAAAATTTTGCCTGTGGGTCATTTGACATGTTCTATATATCACAAAATCCTGGTTTATAGTACAAGTATAGTTTAAGGTAAAAGTATAGTTCAAAGTAAAAGTTTTGACTCTGTGATCTTAATATTAGCCTAAGTATGCCAGGAATTATTAAGAAACCTTATTTCATTAGAGGCAAATATTTTTTAAAAGCCTAGCTGGTAAAAGGCACAGTGAAGACAAAGAGGTAGATTTTACTCTTTCAGATTTTTATTTTTCATTCATCTTAAGTAAAGAAGTATGCATCATTATTATTTTCATTATATATTTTTGCTTCTGTTTTGGACCTGTATAGATGGGAGTACATGCATTCACCTCCAGAGAACTCCAAAGAAGCTGAGATTCTGGAAGTTCTCCGTCATCCAAGGGACTGGGTACATTGATGCAGGCAGACCAGCCTTCCTGGTGCTTGGGGGACAGGGAAGGTGTGCCCGCATTCCATTGGCCGGCACCATTGCCACTGTGTGGCAGTTAGTTACCTGTGTCTTAGAGCTCTAGTCTTCTCCACTCTGTGGTTGGCCTCCTTGGCAGGTGGCATAATGCGTTTTAAGTTGGAACACAAGTTTCTGTTGGATGCTGTTGGTGATGGGTGACAGGTATCAGTGACAGGTGATGAAATGGCAGCTAATCAGAGTCAACTGGTTGACACAAAACTCATTCGTACTTTTAGAACCAATTTATATCACTAGTTTACAAAATATGACATTGAGTTTCCAGGAATTGACTTAAAGGAATCTAAACGTTATCAGGAAATCTATCATGTTATTTTCATTTCATCTGTTTTTTAAAGTTTTTGTTTCTTCCACAAAAATGTATCTTGGGATAAATTTTATTTTCATTACTTAATTGGGGCTGAGACTTACTAATAATTTTAGACAGCAGAGAAATGGAAATAAATGTTTTAGTTTGTCATTACTGCATTTACTTTGATCCTTATCTTCATCTTCATTTAGAGATCATAATATTGGAAAATTGTCATTTTTATAATGGTAGTTATTTAGGAACACTTGAAATTCTTTTAATCTCTGCATGTGTTACAATTCAATGATTACCTGTAATTGTAACTCTAAAGTGACATCACTGTTAAACTTAAATAAAGGATATCTAAGTTGTACTTTTCATTTTAATAGAGCTATACTTTGTTAATGTTGGGATTCTCTCCACTTTTGAATGTGAAAGCTTATAACCTTGGCTTTTCTGATTTAAAATTTTCTATTTCAGACATTTCTATATGGAAGTTTAGACTAAGAACAATCCTAGAGGCTGTGAATTTAGGAAATGTTTCTCATTTGGTAAATTAAAGCAGGAATAACTAGTGTGAAAAGCATGTAGGCATTTTATAACTATATTCCTTTGTAAGATTGACAAATTGAAATTGTCCTCTTTTTAAATTAGAGATTCTGTAACTGCATTAAGAGAAAGATTGCAACAGAATTCTTAACGTGGCCTTTTTGTTCACATAATAATATGAATGTGATTTATTCATGATACATTGAAATTTATGAGGAACAGTACCCCTCTTATATTATTATTAAGCATTATCTTGAAATATGTTGAATGTATGTAATTGTGTGTAACTCTAGGGCTAGAAAATATGAGTTCTTCAAATGTCTTACAACAGATCCTCTGATAACTTATGAAATATCACTAAAAAATGTTCATATTTATTATTTTCAGGGTATTTGATATAGACAAGACAACTATTTTTTAGCACAGACTGTAGTTCCTTATTCCTAGGTATTTTACCCAGGAAAATAGAAGTTTTACACTTAAATTTTCATTGCAGCAATATATTCTTATGTTAAAAAACTGCACACCAGTGAAAAGAAACAACTATTAATAAACATAACAGCATGGATGAATATCAAAAACATGATGCCAAGAGAGAGAAACCAGATACAAAAAGCACTCAGTGTGTGACTACATTATATGAAAACCTAGAAAAGCCATAACTCCAACAAGAGAAAGCAGATCAGTGGTTGCTCGGAGCTGGGCCTGAGGAATTGATTGTAAAAGGGAAGAAAATAATATTTTGAGGTGATAAAAATGTTCTGTATATTGATTATGGTACTGCTTACCAGACTGAGTTTTCAAAACTCATTGAATTTGATCCCTAAAGCCATAGAATTTTATTGTGTATATGATTTATACTTCAATAAAGCTGATTAAATGGAAAAAACCTATAATATAGGTATATAGGAACAAGTGTTCAAATAAACCTCGGTTTATCATTTAGAACATCATATAGATCTGCTGGGCCGTTTAGTTGTGTTTAGGTCTATTTGGGTCCAGGTATCAGACCAAGATAAAATTTCAGAAGTTTCTGCATGTCAGTTTTACATACTCTTCAATAACCATGTTTTTCTCTTATAGATGAGAATGGGAAAAAAATAACTATTGGAAAAAACATAACTATTAGAAAAATAGATCATTCTACTATTATTCAAAATGTCACATTGATACCTTTTCTGAGTCTACTAGAGGCCCAAGGAGCACCTGCAAATGGCCTGAACACCTAGGTTTTGCTGTCTGACACATCTGCATTAGTGGTCATCAGGGGTGGGCACTGGGGAGGAGGGCTGTAAATGCTTTGGAGCAAATTTCTAACCACTACCTTATATTTATCACTATGTTCTGCTCATCCATCTATTCAAATAATTGTTCAAGGAGATTAAAACTTCTGCATGCCATTTGCAACAACATGGCTGGATCTGGAGGTTATTATATTCAGTGAAATAAGCCAGGCAGAGAAAGACAACCTTATTATTTCACTTACTTGTGGACTATAAAAAAGCAAACAGAATGAACAAAACAGCAGTAGACTCACAGACACTGAGAAATGACTAGTGACAACCGTGGGGGAAGGTGAGGGGGATAAAGGGAAACAAAATCTCAAAGTGAGTTGGTCACGGGGATAGTAGTACAGCATGGAGAATATAATTAGTGATTCTGTAACATCTTTCTATTTTGATGGAGTAACCGCACTAGAGGAGGTGAGGATTTAATAATATGGGTAACTTGAACCACTGTGTTGTACATTGGAAACCAGTATAAGATTGTGTATCAGTGATACTTTAGTTAAAAAAAAATTCTGCATGCTAAGAAGCACCAGATTAGAAAGACAAATAATCTGTTTCTCTGGGATTTATCCTTCCATGTGTTTTTGCTATCACAGTTTGTCAAGGCTGGAATGATTGGCAGGGTTGTTACACAAATATGCCAGGCTAGGATGGCTTGAAAGCTGGGCTTAGCTTGGACTCTCAACCGCAGTGCCTACAGGTGGCTCAGAGCACATATCCTGCCAAAACAAGCAGGCAGCGCAGTTGCCTTCTGACCTAGTACTTAGTGTCTAATCTACAGGTCATTCAGTGTCACTTCCTCCATGTTCCACTGGTTACAAGTGAGTCACTAAGGCCAGCTCCAGATTCATGGGGGAGGGAATTGGACCCCAACTGTCAATGGGAGAAGTGTCAAAGAATCTGGTCATCTTCCAAACCACCACATGGCCCCTCAGGCCCAAAACCACAAAACAAATTTCACTTTTTCCCTTCCTCGTTACATGATCAAATCCTGGTAAGTCTACCTTTGAAATGTTTCTGCATTTCCTTCGTCTGTCCATGGCTGCCACTGTGCTTTGGTTCCCCATTCCCACTCATCTGAACTTTTGCAATAACCTCCCTGCCTCTGGTCACTCTAACTTCCATTCTCTCCCTTCAGAATTACTTCCACAAATCTCATTACTGCCCCCCTCAAAAATTCTACGTATCTCTTCTGTGAAAAAAATTCTAAACTCAGAGCAATCAATTTTTGACCCCAACCTCTCTTTTCAGCCTCATCTTCTACATTCCTCCCTTGCAGTTAAGCCTCAGACTCCACGCCCACCACTCACCAGTTTTCTGAACATTCCCTAATTCTCTTCCATCTGGCCTCTGCTCAGGCTGCTGTTACCTCTGCTTGGAATCTTTTACGCTCCTGTCTGTCCTTTCATGTCTGGTTCAAATCTCCAAGAAACCTTCCTTGGAATCAATCTTTTCTCCCCCTTCGGCACCTTTCATACTGTTTTTATCACAGTCTGTATTCACATAGGTTTTCAATATATGCTACACTCACTACAAAATATTTAAGGTGGGTGTTTCCTTTACAACACCTGCTACTTTGTGAATGACCTGTTACTGAAATGACCATTGAAACCTTTGTATTTCAATGCTGTTTTTGCAATATATCAAGCTTAGTATTTTTGGCTTTCTATATATAGTCTGTGAAAACAGAAATCCTAATATACATCTCTTACAAAGCACATTTAGAAATTGTTCTCAGAGATGTATTATTCTTGCCACAAGTATTAATTATGTATTTGAAATCCTGTGCTTAAAATTGTGATCCTTCTTCCCAAAGCACATATGTAAAATTCCAGCTTCATAATGAACTTAAATTAAGTTAGTAAAGTTTAGACATTTTCAAATGGCTTGACTAAATCTTGAATTTAGTATTGTTACCTGAAGCCAAGTTACAGGGCATACAGTACAAAACCTCACAGACCTGTTTCTACCAGGGATTTAACACCAGAAACATGTTAGCTTATACCAGCAGAGCAAGGTAATTAAATGCTTTCCATCATCCAGTCAACGTACTTGCTTTTGTTAAGTTGAAGTTAAACTCATTCATCAATATTCTAATGAATCCTTCACCTATTCCCTATTCATGATTCAAAACAAGTTGGAATAGAAAACTTGCCATAATCTAATCCATTATAGTTTCAAAAAGTTGACACAAATACAGTCAGTTTGTAAAGCAAACTGGCTTTGTAGTCAATTATTGCACCATCGACTCTATGGTGGATGCATTTGCTTGTGAAATGGGGAGGTATCAAACCAAAGTTCATGGAGTGGTACCAGTTGAATGCTTCTGTTATTTAATGCAACTGAATAATGCACTTACAAATAGTCTTCCTGGTGATTTTTATGTGTGCTGAATATGTGAATATTTATATGAATATCTATGCTCAAATCTGGTCAAAATTGCTTACATTTTCTATTTGGTGAGGCAGCCTAAGGCTGTGAGAATTTTCTTTGCCCGCTACTTTACATCCTTCTAACCATGAGTAAAATATGTAAAAATTCAAGCCAGCATACCAATTTCTTGTAGTTTAAGTCATAGTTTAACTTTTAAAAATAATTCAGTAGATACCCTCAAAGAACACTTTAAATAATATCTATATCAATACTAATTTACTAACTTCTTTATTCTTTAATGTAGTTGTTATTCTTTAATGAGATCCTCTATGCTATTCAACATGAGAACGACACTTGAAAAAATGGGAGTAATGTAGGAAAGAATATCTAGGAAATATTTAGAATGTTTTAGGAAATTCCCTATTTTAATGATGTGAGGGTTATATGGTATCTCCCTTGAACAAGCAAAAGGCATTGATCTGGGACACTGTGGCATGTGGAGCAGAGACAGGCCATGCCTGCTGTGCCCCATCAGAATTCTTGGCTTACAGAATCTGTGAGCCTAATAAAGTGACTGCTGTTTTATGTCACTAAATTTGGGGTGGCTTGTTAAATAGCAGTAGATAAATGGAAGAGATTAGATGCCATTAACACAAAAAGAGGAGAGCAGTTTTGATGAGCCTGATATGCCTGCAAGCCAGCTCTACCAGTAGAGATCAGAGTCTTTAGTGCAGATGTTTGTCTAGAACTCATTTACCAATTACTTGTATAAAGGCAATAATGAAAAAGGAAAGTGAGCAATCCAAGGAAGTGCACTCAATGTAAAAAGAAAGAATAATTTGGGGGCAGAGGAAGGGGCAAAAGAAAACCTGTCAGGGAAGGAGGCCGGGAAGCAGCTCACTTGGAAGAAGGAAGGAAATGAAAAGGGACAGATTGGGTGTTGTGATAAGGCTTAAAACATTACAGGAGCTATTTCTACATAGAAGATATTGAAATAATGCATACCCTATGTAATATGTTTGATAAATCAGGTATAAGTTCAGATTTTTAGAAATTACCCTAGTCCATAAATTAGCAAGATCCTCTCCGGTATTAAAGTTTAGATCCTAAAATAAAATTATTTCCAGTAATATAACAGTGTCTCCAATTTCTCAAATTGTGTGTAAATATGAAATTCTTTATGGAACCAGTAGGTGGAGCACATCTGCTCAAGAAACCCTAATTCAGGGTGGGTTGGTTTTTAGTTGTGAGGGAAGGGTCTCCCCTCTCAGGAGATAGTGAACGAGGAGGGAGAGAGAAGGGGAGAGAACAGAAAAGGAGGAGGCAGGAAAAGAGAGAAGATGAGAGAATGGTATGCGATCCCTCCCCTGAATTATGGTATTGTTGGCAGGATTATTGAAAAGAATTATCATATACTTAAGCATGTTTAATTAGACAGTTATGTTTATATCTTGTCATATGGCTCCAGTATGCTTCATTTCTCTTTTTATTACACACAGATTCTGAAGTTGACAATGTCTGGAATCTCAGTAATGTTGAATGTCTAAGCAGGGGTCTTCACCTGAGTTTCTAGAGAGTTCCTGAACTGTGAGTTGCCCAAAATCATAAGAAAATGTGTGCCTTTTTCTTAGTATGTGTATATTATTTAGACTCACAGAAGGATACATGATTCTGAAAATATTGAGGACTATTCATCTAAATCAGGAGGGTGTCTATAACCTGGGGGTACATGTGGTCATTCACTGAAGAAAGATAATAAAATGTTTTTTATCCTTTCAAAAGTTCTATTTCTGTGTGTAATTTAATTATTTGTCCATAATACATTCATACATTATTGCATATACATTAATTCACAAATAAGGATATTTTGGGGGTATAAGATTAGTGGCACATAATCAAAAAATTTCAAAACTTGCTTCTCCAAGTAAATAATGCACATTTTTACACCTTTAAGGACTAAAATCAAAATAGAGAAAGCAAAAAGCAGAATATCTTGGTAAATCAAGGAAAGAAAACATAACAGTAAAGCTTGACTTCTCACCTCTTTCCCGAGTTAGGAGAGGAAATGGAAATATTGCTAATTTCTCATCAATTTTACATGGAACTAAGGGGTAGTGTTTAAAGAAATAGAAAACTAAGATATTAAGTGAAGATGTAATAATAGAGGTATTTACTAGAATAGAAATATAAACTAAAACTATCCACAAAAATTATAAACAGAACCTGGAGTAGAAAAAGCAACCCATAGAATAATACATACAGTATGATTCTATATGTATAAAATTCAAAAGATGCAAAACAAGACCATAGACTGTTTTTAGGTGATAAAATAGAAGGACTGAGGCAGCAGTTTTGGAGAGCTTCTAAGTTTTACTAATATTCTATTTCTTGAGCTGGATTCTGGTATTCTGGTATACAAGTGGCCATTTCAGTATTTCAATATATCAATATATTTCTTAATATATTCATATTTTCTAAATATTAATATATATTAAACAGTTAATTATAAACCTTTTAAGGTAGGAACAGAGAAAAACTCTTTTACTCTGATACCAACATGCACCTCTGTGGGCTTTCTTGTTGACATCCTGAATATGTCTTTCTTTAAAAATCAGGTTTTTCCCCTAATATATAGATTACTGCCTATACTTTGTGGAAATTTTGCAAAATAAACATATGTATCAAGAAAGAAATAGCCATCACATTTTATACCACTACTCAAAAATAACCACTCAGTATTTTGGTGTATTTCTTTTAGCTAGTTCATGCATATTTGAAAATGATTAAACAATACTGTGTGTATATAACTTTATATCCTAATTTCCACCCTCACCCCCAATCCCCTTAACTTTATATCTTAAGCTTTTCTCCCTGTTCTTTAAAACATTTAAAGGCAGAGGACAGGATGGGGTTTCTTGAAAGTGAGCTACTGAGTGGGGGCTCTAAACCATTGCTCAACCTCTTTCTTCAAGGGAATTTGTTTTCCAGCTAGACAAGAGATTCAAGAGCTCTTTTTTAAAACACTATTTTCTAGAATAGCTGTAGATAGAAAAACACAGTTTAGTATTAGGAGCTTTGGGGTTTTCACCACAAAATGATTAGCTCTTTCTTTTGCTGCCCTCTAATTTCCCTAACCCCACAGCTTCCAATTTCAGTGCCTCTTTAAAGGAATGGATCATCCCATCTTGGAGACAGAGGGTGGGGGGTGAGGATAGAGGGTGAGAGGGAAAGGTGGGGGTGAGGGGGAATAAGCAGAGACAACAGACAAACAGATCTTTAGTTAATATCCTCAGGCATGTAAGAGATTAACCATTACTTAAACAGTCGAGGTAAACAGAAGATAGACCTGGAAGATTTAAAAGTGGTTGCATTTACAGAGCAACACTAGAATGAATAAAGTGGGATGGAGAATTGCTGTTTTTCATTATAAGCCTGTTATTATTTGATTTTTTTTAACTGCAGGCAATTATTAGATTGATGAAAAGACTGAAAAAGCCATAGATTTTTAAAAAATTTTTCAAAACATTTTCATTATGCATATTTTTCTATCATATAGGTGTTTCTCACTAGAAAGAACTTTCCATTCTGCTACATTAATTTTTTTATCATGAGTTGCCATTACCTTATCAGTGTTTTTAAACACCTCTTCCTGCTTCTAACCTCATTGTTAAGATTAGTTAGATGCACATTATCTTCTAAATAGTTCTAACTTTAGGAGATCTTATATACTCAGAGAAAAGAGTTAAACCGGTTCTAATAATTCAGGACTCATAGATCTTTCTGTGTAGCACTGAAGTATATTTTCTATTAGGCTAATAAGTGAAATTACAAAATTCAAACTGTATAGTCACAGGTTTTATGCATCAAGGTATATGCAGAAGGTATTTCAGAGGGTGGGTGCTGGACAATATCCCAGATATGTGACCTTTTTTAAAGGTTTTGCTTAGGAGTTTAGAAGTTACATTGAAATCGCAGCCCTCTGGCTCAACCACAAGGGCATCTCATGAGTTCGACAGGAACTTGAGCATATTTGTTTGTAAAGAAACCAACTTGAAAAAAAAGTTCTAGTTTTTATAGCTCTACTTTATGTTTTCTTTAAGTTATATTTTAGTAGTAACTTGAAGAGTTTGCTATCAGTGGCTGGGAAACCCCAACATGGTTTCCTTGGCAATCACTAAAATAGGGAAATGAAAGGAAAGTCACTCAATTAAAGAAAACAAAAAGCCACGGCCCCGCATTGTTCCTGCTTGATCCCCACCAAATGAGAGCAAGTTCAATGGAAGAACTGAGCTACTTTGAGACTTGGAGAAAATATTTGGCGTCCTCCTGGACTTCCACACAATATCCCTGCTGCCTCTGCAGTGTCTGACTTCATGGTCAGACTGCTGTGAGGTGAGCCAAGGTGAACAAAGAGGTAAGATTGAAGGTCACTGTCTGTGGAAGAAATACGAGTTACAAGATGAAGAATGATTCTTCCTGAAACCTTTGGACTTACTCTCAATATTGTTACATGGTCTGGTTTTCACTCTGGCCAGGTTCTCATGTATGCAGGTGGGGTGGAGTCCTCTTTTCTTCCTCTGCTTTTGTGGTGTGACATTCCGAGTTCACTGTTGTTTATTCCTTATAATTTTTACTACCTTGCTATAATCTTAGATGAAGTCAAAAATGGTATAAACTCCTCTTATTGAAATTGTACCTGAACTTTTATGGAAAAAAATATTTAAGAGTTCAAAGTACACACATTTTGGAAAGCAAAGGTCCAAAGACAACGTAGCATTATTTATTTATAACATGTAAGTCATGAACCTTTTCATTTTCTTCCATCAGAAAATACTGTTGTATGATTTCTTATGGGCTACTTTTTGTTGATAACTAATTTATATAACATAAAATTTACTCTTTGATGAAGTGGATTTAAGTATATCTGCAGAGTTGTGCAACAATCACCACTAATTCCAGAATATTTCTATCACTCCATAAAGAAACCCCATACCCACTAGCATTATTGTACTCATTCTCCTTTCCTCCCTTCCTCTAGTGCCTGGCAACCACTAATCTTCGGTTACTATGGATTTACCTAGTCTGGACATTTCATAAAAATGAAGTTATACAATATGTGGCTTTTTGTTTCTGGCATCTTTCACGTAGCATAAATTTTCAAGTTTCACCCATGTTCTAGCATGTATTAGAGCTTCTTTTTATGGCTAAATAGTATCCAGTGTATAGGTGCACCATATTTTGTTTTTCTACTTATCCTTTGATGGTCATTTGGGTTGTTTTTACTTTTTTGGCTGTTATGAATAATGCTGTTATTAATATTGCTGTACAAGATTTTTGTGAAGATATGTGTTTCCAATTCTCTTGGATATATGTCAAGGAGTAAAATTTCTGAATAATCTGATAACTCTAAAACTGAGTTGCATTTTGAGAAACTCTAAAACTGTTTTCCAAAGTGGCTGTAACATTTTACAACCCTACTAGCAATGTATGAGGGTTCTAATCTCCACATTATTGCCAACACTTATTATCTATAAGTTCATTTAGTATTTTACAGAATATTTGAGCATCTACTATGTGCACAAAATATTAATACATTAACAAATTAAAGAATCAAATATTAAATCAAAGCAAAACATATTAATAATTACCAGTGAAACATTGGTTCAGTGTCCACAGTGCCCTGTGCATTCATTGTCCCCTGAACTCCCAACCTTTCTTCTTTTTTTATTTTTATTTTTTATTTTTAATTGAAGTGTACTTGGCATACAATATTACATGAGTTTCAGGTGTCCAACATAGTGATGTGACAATTATATACATTATGAAATGCTCACTATGGTGTGTTACATCTGTCATCATACAAACTTATTACAATATTATTGACTATATTCCCTGTGCTGTACTTTTCATCCCTGTGACTTATTTATTTTATAATTGGAATTTTGTACCTCTTAATTCCCTTCACCTATTTCTCCTATTCCCCCAGACTTTTTCCCTCTGGCAACCACCAGATTGTTCTCTATATTCAAGAATCTGCTTCTGGTTTGTTTGTCTGTTTTAGATTCCAGCTATCAGTGAAATCATATGGCATTTGTCTCTCTTTATCTGACTTATTTCACTCAGCATAACACCCTCTAGGTCCATCTATGTTTTCATGAATAACAAGAATTATTTTTTTTTATGGTTGAGTGATATTCCATAATACATGTACCACATTTTCTTTACCCATTCATCTATTGATGGACACCTAGATTTTTTCCATATCTTGGTTATTATAAATAGTGCTGCAATAAATATAGGATATGTATATCTTTTTGAATTAGTATTTTCATTTTCTTCAGGTAAATACCCAGAAGTGGAATTATGGGATCAAATGATATTTCTGTTTTCAATTTTTTGAGGAACCTCCATACTGCTCTCCATAGTGAATGGACCAAGTTACATTCCCACCAACAGTGTAGGAGGGTTCTGTTTTCTCTACATCCTTGGGATACAGCACCAGAAAAACACTGCTAAGGCCAATGACCAAGAGTTCACACTTACATTTTATTTTAGGAGTTTTATGGTTTTAGGTTCTTAATTCATTTTCAGGATATTTTTGTGTATGGTATAAGACAGTGGTCCAGTTTCATTCTTTTGCATGTAGATGTCCAGTTTTCCCAATATCATTTATTGAAGAGACTGTCTTTTCCCCATTGTATATTCTTGTCTCCTCTGTCGTATATTAATTGACCATATAAGTATGGATTTATTTCTGGGCTTTCTATTCTGTTCTATTAACCCACATGTCTATTTTTGTCCCAGTACCATATTGTTTTGATTACTGTAGCTTTATAGTATAGCTTGAAATCTATTGGGACTTTTTTGTATGAAGTATTACCTCAGCTTTTTTTTTGGCTTCCATTTGAATGCAGTATCTTTTTCCATCCCTTCATTTTCAGTCTGTATGTGTCTTCATATCTGAAGTGAGTCTTGTAGGCAGCATATGGATGGGTCTTATTTTTTTTTTTAATCTGTTCAGTCATCCTATGTCTTTTTGTTGGCACATTTAGTCCCTTTACATTTAAAGTAATTATTGATAGGTATGTCCTTACTACCATTTTGTTAACTGTTTTCTAGATGTTTTTGTAGTTCTTCACTGCTCCTTTCTTCTTTCTGGGTCTCTTCCTTTATAATTTGATGGCTTTCTTCAGTGTTATGCTTGGATTCCTTTCTCTTTATTTTGGGTATCAATTACAGACTTTTTTTGCTTGTAGTACCATTAGGTTCATATATAATATAAATTGATGGTGGCTTAACTTCGAACACATACATTTTTATTCCCCCCTGAATGTTTATGTGTATGATGTTCTAGTTTACATTTTTTATTTTGCCTATCTCTTAACTAATTTTGTTAGATATAATGGATTTTCAACTTTTGTCTTCTAACTTCATACTAGCTTTGTAAGTGATTGATCTACTACATTTACTGTATGTTTGTTCTTACAAGTGAAATTTTTTTCCTTTCATAATATTCTTACCTCTCATTATGGCCTTTCTTTTACACTTAAAGAAATCCCTACAACATTTCTTGTGGGGCTCAATAAAGGCCAGTTTATTGGTGATAAAGTCCTTTAATTTATTTGTCTGGGAAAATCTTTTATCTATCTTTCAATTCTGCATGATACCCTTGTTAGGGTATCATGATACAAACCCAGATCTCATATTCTTGGTTGTAGGTTTTTTCCTCTCAACATTTTGAATCTATCATGCCATTCTCTCAGGACAGCAAAATTTCTACTGAAAAATCAGCTGATAACCCTATGTTGTTTCCCTTATAAGAAACTAGTGGCTTTTTTCTTACTGCTTTTAAGATTTTATCTTAATCTTTTTGACACTTTGATTATTATATGTCTTGGTGTGGACCTCCTTGGGCTCATCTTGTTTGTGGCTCTCTCTAACTGCTAGACTGGATGTCTGTTTCCTTCCCCAGGTTAGGGCAGCTTTCAGCTATTATCTTCAAATAAATTTTCTGCCCCTTTCTCTTTCTCTTTTCCTTCTGGACCCTTAAATGTGAAAGTTGGTATGCATGATGTTGCAGATGTCTCTTAACCTATCCTTATTATTAAAAAATCCTTTTCCTTTTTGCTGGTCAGCTTGGGTGCTTTCTATTACCCTGTCTACCAGATTGCTGATCTGTTCTTCTGCATCCTCTAATCTGCTGTTGATTCCCTGTAGTAAATATTTCATTTCAGTTATTGTTTTCTTCAGCTCTTATTGATTCTTTTTGATATTTTGTATTTCTTTGTTGAAGTTCTCACTGAGTTCATCCACTCTTCTCCCAAGTTTGGTGAATATGTTTATGACCATTGCTTTGAATTATTTACCAGATAGTTTGTTTATCTCCATTTCATTTAGTTATTTATCTGAGAATTTATCTTGCTTTTTCATTTGAAACATATTCCTCTGTTTTTTCATTTTATCTTTCTCTCTGTGATTGTGTCTGTGAATTAGGTAAATCAGCTGTATCTCCCAGTCTTTAAGGTAATGGCTTTATGTATAAGGTGCTCTGTGGGGCTCAATTGTATAATTTCCCATGATTGCCAGAACCAGGTGCTACAGGGGTGTTTCTATGTAGATTGTGTGCACCCTCCTGTTGTGACTGGGCCACAACTGATACAGGCATCTGGTATCTCCCCCAACCCCTGGGGCAGGAGTTACTTTGGAGGGGTGCTGGTTCCAGCTGGGGATGTCTACCAGGTGCACTGAGGCTATAGTCACTTTGGAGGCATTCTGGCCAGGACCAAGGCTGCCCACCACATCTGAATGGTGGCAGTTGCTTTGGACAGATGCATGCTGGAGTGTGTTCACCAGTGAACACTGGGGTGGGGTGAGAAATTCTAGCCACATAGATGGAGAGTGTCAGAACTGGCTCCACAAGCATCTGGCCAGTTGGTCTGAATGATGCCTGCCAGCACTTTCATTTGTAGGAAAAGTTCCTACAGATCCCTGCCCCTTAAGCACAGACCCTAGAATTAATTAATAAATCTTCACATATAACCCATGTACTTTTCAAAACGACTGATTCTGTGCTGGGTCTTAGAGTTAGTGATATAATGCACTGGTCCTTTAAGAGCAGAGTCTCAGTTTCCCATAGTATTCTGGTTCTCCTGGAGTTAAGCCATGCTGATTTTCAAAGCTCCTGGAGTTAAGCACTGCTGATTTTCAAGGCAAAAATTATGGGGGCTTGTTCCTGGTGCAGGTCCCGGGCTGAGGAAAGCCTGATACAGGGCTTGATCCCCTAGCTCCTCTGAGAGGACTTATGCACTTGGGGTATCTCTCCCACTTTTGGGTCACTGTATGAGGGCCTTGTTCCAGTCTGTGTCACTATCCTTCCTGTCCTTTTCAATGTGGCCTTCTCTTTCTGTGTTTAGC